TCTAGTTCTACATGCCATGTCTAATGGATGTCAGTTATCTCCTGTTAATTCCCCTCTGAAAGTTCTCCACTGCCTTAACCGGGTATTGAACTCACACTCTTTGGGTCCTGTCACTGGATCTAATGTCTTTATCCACTGTGTCATGTGTCCTTAAGACGTTAGTTAGATCCAGTGACAGGATCCAGTAATGTAAATAGTGTACACAATACCTTATCTCAGAAATATATAGACAGATATTGTTGCCACTTATCAGGCATCTCTTTGATAGGTCTGAACAAAATTCTACAGCTTTTGATATGAAAAGGTTTTTGACAAACTCTTGAATCTGGCTTTCATGAAAGAAAGTTTTCCTTCATCAAAGCATTTTGCATCAATCAAAAAAGATAAAAACTGCTTAGCAGAAGGTCAGCTGCATATGGATGATGGGGTTGAACATTTCCAAAATCATTTCCTATGTTATTCTTGCTGGAAGCAGCCTTACATTTTATTTTTTTTAAATTGAAATCACCCCAAGCAAGGAAGTAAAGCCACTAAGACACAAGGGGTTACTGGGTGCGAAAGATTTAGAAAACAGAAATATTATTAAGAAACAAGAACAATAGAAGAAGAATAAAAAAAGACAGTAGATAACGACTGATATTGCACTTAAATTTTTGAAGCTCAAAGTTGGCTGGACAGAATGGAGATTGAAGAGAGGTTCACAAGTGAGAATTGCAAGAAAATCTGTTTTCATGGGATTTACGGTTACAAGAATCCACTAGATTTGAAAATCTATTTTGGTGTAGTCTTAATTTCTTAACTGCCATGCATGATTAGTAGTTAGAATATTACATTAGTCATTACAATTGTTTCCCTGAAGTGGAAATTTACTTATGATTTATCATTTCCTGAAATAAATCTCTCAGATGTCTTGGCACATACCATCATTGATGTTTTTAACCATGGATCATTAAGGATTAGCTATAACCTTTCTCATAGTAGACTGTTCTTTCTAACTTGCAAAGAAACAGCTCAATGCCACAACTCAAAACTGCAACAACCCAGCACCAGAAAAACAAAACTTTTCTTTTTTTTTTATAAATGAATAAAAATAATTTATTAAAAATTAAAACCTTAATTAGTGAATATTTTTCTTCAAATAAGGCTTTTGATAAGACATTATGTAAAATCTGAATTAGTTTTTAATTATTTTTAATAAAGTAAATCAGAAATTATTGTTACATTTCAATACTAATAGGAATACGGAATGGACAAACATGGTGGATAAATAGTGATAGGTTTATTGTAGAAACCAGTATATCAAGCAAGGAAGTAATAGTTATGCATACGGTCATCACAAGTCAGTACAGTTGTGTGCATGCTGCTATCGGAAGTTCACTAGTCTCACAGATCCCAGCTTGACGCTATTTAGTAACTGCCCCACGCAGTCACATGTGGCACAAGGCCGAAATTAAAGTGGGGTTCCCGAGCCCATAGGCTCAGCCAAAAAATCCCCGTAGACCTCACATAAGCGGGATCGGGTCTGTCTACCTCCCTGGACAAAACTCTGCCCTTCGGCATAGCCTCGTCCGGATTCCTCTCTGCCCGTAGGCAGAGAGTTCGACTAGCGCAGCTGGGAAAGATCCCAGCTTGACTCTCCTGTCCGCTGTCCTAATGGTTATTTATAGGTGGTTACAACCCATAGTGCTGCCACTCATGGGGGTGCCCGGTTATTCCATTACATCAATTATTAAATTATATTTTATATATTAGAGTGTCAATTTACTTGATTAAAAAGTAAATTACATTATTGATTTAATTTATTGAAAATAAATTTCTTTGCAATTCTTTAAAAACAAAAAACTGTTTCATATTTTACATAATGTTTTTCAAATTTCCTTATTGGAAGAAAAATATTCACTAATTAAGCTTTTAATTTTTAATAAATTATTTTTATTCAGTTATAAATAAAAGTTATGTTTTTCTGTTGTGGAGATGTCTCAGTCCTCAGCCAATGGTGTTGAGTTGTCCTGCAGCCCAGCAAATTCACTGTAACTCCTCAGGTGTTTATCGCCCAATCACAATCAACTTCCAGTCCACCGGCTTGTACACTCTTCCATAAAAAAGGAAGCAAATACAATGAGACGCTTCTCTTGAAGTGGTATTGTGAGATTTCTGAGATGAGATATCATAACTAATCCTATTTACATTATTTGAATTGTTGTCCTCATCTTTTCTGTCACATTCATGATGTTTCAGCTGTTGTACGCTCCAGCCTTCGTCAAGTGATATTTGTTTGAATTTCAAACCAAACCCTTCATTTAATCCAGTTCTAATTCGGTGTGCCATGCTTTTTCTGGATATCTTGATTTCAGTTAATTCATCTTGATAACTCTTTAAGCTTTTGTTCTCTCCACTCAAATCAAGGATTGATTTCACAACTCTTTAGGTGAAGTCACAGTTTTTTGGATCAATCCACCAACACTTTTATCCCTTGTGCCTACTGAGTAAATTTTGGGGGACTTATAAACCTAATGTCTCAGTAAGCAGAACTCATATTACAATGTTTTTTTTTGTTTTTTTTTGTTTTTTTACCAGAGCTCATATTACATTTTTTTTTTTACCAGAGCTCATATTACAATTTTTTTTTTACCAGAGCTCATATTACAATTTTTTTTTACCAGAGCTCATATTACAATTTTTTTTTTGCAGAGCTCATTTTTTTTTTTTACCAGAGCTCATATTACAATTTTTTTTTACCAGAGCTCATATTACAATTTTTTTTTACCAGAGCTCATATTACAATTTTTTTTTACTAGAGCTCATATTACAATTTGTTTTTTTTTACCAGAGCTCATATTTAATTTTTTTTTTTAATCAGAGCTCATATTAACCTTCTGTTTTTTTATTTTTTTTTTTTACAGGGTGCTCATATTACAACCTTTTTTTTTTACCAGAGCTCCTATTATAATCTTTTTTTTTCACCTCATTTGTTATTATTGCTTTTCCCTAACTCTCTATATTATTGGTTCCCATATTGCATTCATTTCTATGCTTTGTTGGCTTGAGGTTTGTGTAGCTGAGCATATATGCTGATTCCTTAAGGTTTTGTATTTTCCATTGATGTTCTCTGTCTATCATTATTATTATTAGTAAGTTAGTTTTAGTTATCAAATTATGGGATTAGTATTTAAAATGTAAAAAACATTGGATTGAACTATGCCAGAAGTAGTCCAGCTTACCTGGTTATGAATTCTGGGGAAATAGTGTAAATCAAAACAGGATGAAGCAAAAGACAGGACTATAGAGGAGGGATGAGTGAAAAGCCTTTATTGGCTGATGTTGACTGACGTATGTCAATAAGAACAGTTGGACTCCTAGCCATATCTGAATTTTCTTCACAATGTCGAGGTATAGCATGACACTATCAAGGATGTGACCTGACATTTCTGGAATCAGGATGGGGTTGCTGTTTGAGCCAATATGATGCAAAACCTGATATCAGCAATGAAGACTACCCTTGATGCATCTGAAATGTATTATGCAACTAATTATGATCCAAAATAAAATGATTTGAAGGGTTTGGTTTGAAGTTCCAACAAATATAATCTGAAGGCCGGAGCATACAACAGCTGAAACATTGTGAATGTGATAGTAAAGATGAGGACAATAGTCTGAACAAAGTAAATAGTGTAAATAACAAGTTTTAGTTGTACTTCTTGATAATATATGCATATTTCTAATAACTGATGAAGAAAAAAAAGCAAATCACCCACAGCCCTACACCCTTATCCTTTTGTAGTGGACTCTGATGGTGATGTTGAGTAGAAATAGAACAACATGTGGGGTTAAGATTTTCCTGCTAGCCGGTCCGACTATATGAGAAAGTTGGACTTTAATCAAGTCCAAAGAAGACAAGGAAAAAACAAACACAAGACCGATAAATATATGCAAGCAAATATATGTATTAACAACAAGTTACATTGAGTAGACAGTTACATGGACAGTGTGTGTGTGTGGTGTTATGTGTGTGTGTTGTGGTGAGTGTTTGTACGTACGTGTATTGTTCTTAGCGTGTTCTCAGAATTTGGAAAACGCTGTATCTGTGAGAGCTCACATATTTGAGGTGGTATAAGGCCCAAGGAAAAAAAAAGAGATTGAGGCGAAGGGTCACCCAGTATTTATAGCCAGGGAAGAGAGACCCCTGTTGGAGGATTAAGGAACTAAAGGAGGAGCTAACTACGACAATTTCTTTCAACTTATTCACACTAATTGCTGAGGCTAACGACCACATCAAGTTGAAACACTGGTTCCCTGTACAACCATTGAAGTTAAACAATGTCAAGCCTGGTCAGTACCAAGATGGATGACTGCTTGGGAAATACCAGAATCTGTAAACTTGGATGTGCAAATGGTGCAATGGATAAGGGCATGGAATTGTTAATCAAAGAGGTGAGTTCAAATACATGTTGAGTTTGTTATCTTCTCCTCCCACCTATGGGTTAATTAGTAAGACTTGTATTACTAAACTGTTATCATCTAAAAAAAAAAGATTCTTATAATCTAAAAATATTTTCCAGCTTTAAATAACTTGCAAATGTTTGATAAGCCATATAAAGTCAATCAAATCAAATAATGACTTGCTACACAGTCATGTCTTTTAAATATATTTACATTCTCTGGAATATAAATATATAGAAACTGCCGTGGCCTGAAAGTGAGGGATCAGTTTATATATTGACTCTAATATAGAATTGATTCCACACTTTATATCCACATGATAATTTCTTGTTTGTCAAATTTGGATTAGATATGAATCCACCTCTTCTTCCCTATCTATGGGTTAATTAGTAAGATTAGTAAGACTTTTATCCCTAAACCATTATTATCTAAAGAAAAATTCTTGCAATCGAAAACTATTTTCTTTCTTTAAATAACCTGTAAAGGGTTGATAGTCCATAGAACCACTCAATCAATCTAATTGCAAAATTAACACTGAAAAAAAACCACCCAACCCTGCCATGTCTGTTAGGTTGGGAAAATGGCCTAATAGATATAAATATAAGTATAATGAACAGAGGCAGATAGGTATGAGAAGAGTGAGATAGCTAGATTGATAGATATGAATATAGATAGACTTGTCCTTCTCCTAGACCGGTTGCCAGACGTGGCTAGAGACATCAATCAAACCTTCTATTTAATCCATAGCTGGGGAGAAAAGATGGATTCATACATTTCTCAAGAGTATTTCTGTGAAAGTGAATTTGATGAACTTGACCAAAATTTGAACTCAGCTCACTGATTTCTTTTCAGGCGCTAATGATTATGCCAGCTGCACTTCGGTTAAGTAATATACGGTTGTAACTTCGAAAGGGTTGCTGAATGAGGAATAACCAAAATAGAGGTTGGAAATGCAAATGGTAATCTTTATAACATCAACAAAATACAATACTCGCCAGTGACATGAAGTAGGTAAACCACTGCTAATGGACTGCATAGACAGCATATTACCCCCACTTACAATAGTGTCCAATGTATTTATGAGGATTGGGACATAGCCATTAGTGTTCATAGGTATGGTATATAACACTATCTGTCTATCACAGTCTATTCCTTATCTATCTGTCTATCACAGTCTATTCCTTATCTATCTATCTATCTATCTGTTGTAACCTAAAAAAGGTTACTGAATAAGGAATAACCAAAACGGAGGTTGGAAATAAAAATGGTAATCTTTATAACATCAACAAAATACAATACTCGCCAGTGACATGAAGTAGGTAAACCACTGCTAGTGGTGGACTACTTAGACAGCATATTAACCCTACTTACAATAGTGTCCTACGTATTTATGAGGATTGGGACATACACACTAGTGTTCATATGTACGGTATATAACATATACTAACACAATCAAGATTATAGAGTTATTGTGAACCCCATTGATAGTGGCTGCATAATATATGCTTTGCCAAGACTGCATATGGAGTAAGAGACAGTGGTTTGAATTTAGAAGCTAGAGTTCAAATTTCTTATGAGTTTGTTACATTTGATCGATCGGGAATCCCATGACCCATCAGGGTCGTAGCGGCACCACTTGTACTGCAGCCGCAGTAGAAGTGATGTTTCTTGGGAAAGATAGCCTGATGAACCCAACCCTCTCCAGGCCAGTTTTGAATTCAGAGTTTCTTTCTCCTAGACTGGTTGCCACCCAAGACTATAGAACCCAGTCTGTCCTGCTATTTTAATCGAATTGTATATGCCAGCATTCTTAGAAAACTATCAGTATGGTAATGAAGGGAGAAAAAAACAGTTGCATGATTTGTAGGGACAAAATGGAGACTATAGGTCACTGTCAAGTTGCAGGTTTTTTGTTGGAGTATCCTTCCTTTGGACTATCTTTTTGGGTTGAGGGTTGCCAATTACCCTGATGTTTGAGTTCAAAAAAAAAATTCATCACTGAATTTTGATATTAGAAGAGATGGTTTCATGACATGTCCAAAGGAAGTCAAAGAGAGGTGTAACTCTGATGAGCATAATTTGGAATTGGGAAGAGAAATGATAAAGGCAAAATGTTAGTTAACTTTTGAGAGTCACAAAATGACATTTGCAAATATAATTTTTCAAAATGGACTTAAAAAAAAAAAAACTGACATTGCAGAACAAATTGATTTCATAATTGCTGTTAAAACCAGAACGATTAAAAAAAAATGTCACTGTCATAAACAAAGTTAATGCTGGAAGTGATCTGTGGAGAATGGTGACTTGCAGAGTCAAATTTGATTCTGAAATAGAAATAAAAATGATTCTCAAAAAGAAAAAATGCAGCTCTGAAATAACAGCAGGGAGCATAAGCAAGCATGGCTCTCCACAACTTCCTATCTTTTGTGTTGTTTAGCGGTTTTTCTTCCTTTACTTGTTCAATGCAAAAAGCAGGAAATTGACAAGGTGTTGTAGAGTAATTAACAAACCCCCAGTAACACAAACTAGGCAAGACAACTTAAATAAAGAACTCAAAGTGAGTCAATAGAAGTGTGTCCTCTGTCTGGCATGTGACTGTCAAATTCAAGCAGCTGAGAAAAACAGACAATAAATGTATCCAATCCCATGGTTGCAGGAACTGGGTAAAATTTGACCATTGGCCCAAGTGGACATGCTCAGGTTTCCCGCAACAATCCTGACTTTGTATCACATCTCTCATTTGGGACTGGGTAAATACCAGAAAGAAAATGTTTAACAAGCTAGTTTCACAACTCATTCTTAGAGAGTAGCAACTTCAATCCTCATTGGGAACTGTATAATTATATAAATATCATATAGGTGTTAAAGTATTGAGTTCAGACTTTATCAGGCTTCTAACACTTTGTAGCCTTGTGCCTATTCTAATGTAATTTGTGCAAATATTAATAAAAATTGGTCCTGTTTGGTGACTTTATTATCATTTGGTCAGAACTCCATTGACACACTTTCCACATTGTTTGGTCTTGCATTGCTGTTCCCAGATTCCCAATGGCCACCCCTGAGTGCCAAGCTATAGTGTCTGGGAAAGACAATTGGTAACTTAAGTATTTGGGCCATTCTCATAACTGAATGGTCAATATAGAAGTGATTTAAAACTTAAACATTTTATTTAATCAATGAAGTAGGTTGTTCTCATTCCACTGTCCATGGCTATGGATCATTTTTATCATTTTCACCCTAAGCAAGGGAGTAAAGCCACTAAGACACAAGGGGGTTACTGGATATAGAAGAATTATGAACAGAAACATTAATAATGAGCATGAAAAGGAAAGCATAATCAGGAGAACAGTAGATAGCAATTGGACTTAAATTTTGCAGATTAAAGTTGGCTGGAAAGCATGAAGCAAGACAGGAGTTCCACTAGCAAGAAGTGTGAGAAAAGAAACTGTTAGCATAGAACTTATGGCTACATCTAGCCAGCTCAACTCTAAAATGATGTGATCTCAATGCAAGTTATAATCATTAAATTAAAAATGTCTACAATTATCATGAAAGTACAAGGTGTGATGTATAGATTGTCACCATTTTATATTTTTAATTTTGCACATGTGCATTGTCCTTTATTTTATTTTGTCAACTGCACAGTATAGTAGGGTCAGTTGGGCCCCATCTGTTAGAAATAAAGCACCACGACACAATTCACTTCGCCAGAAATTTGGAAATGGCATGCTGCACTGCTTGGCTTTCATGCCAGAAGCTCCAATACAAACATTTCAGATTGTTTGGGTGCCAACCTAAGGACAGTGCATACAATTTGGAAAGAGTTGTATGAGTCTAATGGTGACTACGAAAGTATGGCATCTCAAAAAAATCACTCTGATCATTCTAATGAGAAAAGAACTCCAGAATTTGTTGGTGATGGTCTCAAACTCGAGACCGAGGCTTGTATCAAGTACCTTAAGGAGGTAGTGTTGCCCTGAGTCAAGAGTTGGCTGCTGGGATACACTATGTCTAGCAACAGGACTCTGCACCATGCCACACAAACAGAAGAACCCAGTCATGACTGTCAAACAATTTCTGCAACCATATCATCCCTTACATCTGGCCATCTATCTCCCTGCAACCTCCTTGCATTATTATGTGTGGGGTGCAGTTAAGCAAGAGACCAAGAAAACTCCTTGTAATGCCAAAAATGAACTGAAGGCAAGGATTATGGCATCATTCACCAACTTAAATAAGGAGACCCTCCAGAAGAGATGCAAGAGATTCCAAAGTCATCTGGAGACCGTGGTTGAAGACAATGGCAATTTTATTGAATAAATTTATTTTTTAGCATAACAAGGTATTTTTGTGTAATTTTGGTAAATATATCTGTTAATTCATTTTTGACGACAATTTATCCATCGCATGCTGTATTTCTAGAAAAGACAGAGAGAGGCAACCTTACAGCAGTAAGAAAGTGACTGAAGCCGAGCCACCAGATCAGGACCAAAAATATTGCTGATTTTTCTTTGGATTTTATCAACAAGCTCAAAGTAAATAGCAAGGGCATCTGACCATATGTGGCAGCAATATTCTAAGCATGGATGAATGGTAGACTTATAGATATGTATGATAGATTCTGGAGAGAAAAATTGTCTTGTCTTCATCTTAGTTGATCCTGTTCATTTATTGTTTGTCTTCTCTAGCAGTCTATCCTAAAAACCAGGATTTCAAATGCTTAATTTGAAGGCAAGTGTGGAAATTTGGTGCAACATAATCTTACTCCCAGTATTTCCTACTCTTCTGCAATACCAGGCTAAGGTTTTTCCAGTAGTTCACTCTTATCAATGAGGGAAATGTTCTGACTGCCTGAAAAACCTGCTTATAATAAACTCCCTATATACATATATACAAACCCTCATTACCAACTCATATGCATGGTCAGGGTTTTATTTTATTTCTTTATTTGATATTGGCATTCAACAAAGAGCATATATCAAATTGGCAACGATAAACTACATCCATGTCCTGGGTAAGATGATAAACTACGTCCAGCAGCAAGGCCTCTGATCAGAAGGTTTTGAAGAGCGTGGAAACACCTCTTTTCTGGTGTTCCCAGGTCCACCCTAACCTGGGGTGGTAACACTTGTTAGGCTCCCAGCTATGGGCAAATAGTTAACCCTGAAACTGGGGAAAAACACTATGAAAGTGTAAAAACAGGTTTTAATACCAGAAATACTTTGTAAAAACTTATCAGCAATAAATTTTTGAAGAAAAAAAAACTATTACCAGCTATACATTTCTGAAAAAACAAAATATTACCAGCAATAAAAATTTTGTTGGCATTAAATAACCCATTGAGGTTGATGTGCCGTAAAACAAACCAAACCAAACCATCAAATTGGCATCTGATCTCAAAAATGGCCACTTGTTGAAATGAGCAAAGAGTGGCTTTAATGGCTCAAAAATGAAACTGCTCTCTTTTCATCATCTGAGAGAATGCTTTTTATCTTCCATCAATATGGCTGATGCTAACCTCCAGGAGAGTGACTCATTTTGAGCCTTCTCGGCCTAATGTTTTCAGCTGACATGAAGTGGAAAGAATTTATTAAATCAACTGCTAAGTCTGCAGCTAAGAATGTTGGTTCACTATCTTCTGCTAGAGAATTTTTCTTGCCAGAATCTATCATCCTTGCTTTGAATACTGCTCTTGTTACATATTTAGAGATTCTTGGTAAAATCCAAAGAATCTGCAATGTTAAGTGAAAATCAATAAAATTGCTTGAACTCCTGCTAGAAAAGTTGGTTTGTGCTAGACAATTTTTCTGGCCTAATCTATCTTACATATTTATAATTCTACCACTCATCTATGTTTAAATTTTGCTGACACATCATGTCTAGTGCTCCTGCTATATATTTAGAGGTTCTTAATAAAATCTACAGTATCTGCAATATTACTGGTCCTGACATGGTATCACTGCTTCAGTGACTTTCCCATTACTTCCTTGTGCCTTTTCTATAAATACTTTCACTGTTCTGATCATCTTTCCACTATGGTAACTGGACTTTATCAATTTAAGTACAGTACTAGATTGGCAGATAGGTCTCTTCATTTTACAGTTGAAATGGCTAAATATAAGCTTAAGTTTCTTTTCTCACATTTCTCATTTGTGGAATTCTATTTCAGCTTCTTGCTTTCCAGCCAACCTTGAACTTTAAAAATTTAAATACAATGTCAATTGTTATCTGCTGTCTTCTTGATTCCTGTTCATTTGTTTTTCTTGCTCCTTAATAACGTTTTTCTTTTTCTTATATACTTTCACATTCAGTACGCCCTAGTTTCAGTGGCTTTATTGCATTGACTGGGGTTAAATGATTAAAGAAATATATCCTAGAAAACAAAAAGGTTTCTGTGAATCTGTTACCTTTGACGTCTTTGAAATTATAAGGAGTTAATCTATAACAGATTTTATTTTTTCCAATCATTAAATTTAAAGGATGTTCAGTTGATGCCAAGTTTAGAGGATCATAATGAGAAATTGGTGAACAAAGTTCAAACTGATTGAGATCATTACATTCACTTTTGCACATATACACTTGGGAAAGGTATGATTCCATCTATTCTCATCTCATCTGTAAGTAAGAATGGAATGAGAACTATCTACTCCTGTAAAGGGTTCTGTTCAAAATTCTCTGAATTTTACCCAGATTGACAAGCACTTAACAAATGCTGAAGGACACAATGGATGAAACGTTATGATAATAACAAAAAAGATGAGGACAATAAAATAATAAAAATTTGTCTGCCAGAAATTCAGACAGACAAAAGATTGTTGAAGATATCTAAAATAAATTTTACTTTTTGCAAATTAAATATCTTCAGTTGCTCATGATTTTGATGACAGGCAGACAGGATTTTGTACTGTACAGTTTATGGTAAGATGTTGGTAACCTGCTGTGAAATAATTGTCAGCAAATTTTAGTTGCTGTATCAGTAAATTGCTTGATCTCCTGCTAGAAAAGTTGGTTTGTGCTAGACAATTTTTCTGGCTTAATCTATCTTACATATTTATAATTCTACCATTCATCTATGTTTAAATACTGCTGACACATGATGTCTAGTGCTCTTGCTACATATTTAGAGGTTCTTAATTAAATCTAAAGAAGAATTTGCAACATTACTGTTCCTCACCTGGCATCTCAGCTTCAATGAATTTCCCATCATGATAATATAACTTCCTTGTGCCTTTTTCTATAAATACTTTTATGGTAATTGTTCTGATAACTGTAGAATGTTGGTTAGCTCGCAAGCAGCCTGACACACAAGTAGACAGGTGTAGCCACCAAGTTAAGATGACTTGAGTCATTTAATGGAGAGATATATGGGTGAATAGAGACCACTCATGCAAATGTGTTGGGCAGGTCCATTCTAGCAAAATGGAACACCCTAACTCGTGTATTAGGTACTCTCCTATAAATGAGGTAAAATTAGCTGGCCTGCTTTTCCAAGAGGACACAAGAAGGCAGCCATGTTAGCAGGTAAGTCACTTGACTTCTACAATAACCTTTTCTCTATAGCAACTAGATTTTATAAATTTAAGTGCAGTACTAGATTGACAACAAGGTATCTTCATTTTACAGTTGAAATGGCGAGATCAAACCTTAGGTTCTATGCTAATAGATTCTTCTATCACACTCCTCACTTGTGTATACTCTATTCCAGCGTCTTGCTTCCTAGTAAACTTTGATTTTCAAAATTTTAAATGCAATGTCAATCTTTATCTTCTGTCTTCTTAATTCTTGTTCTTTTATTGTTCTCTCTCCTTAACAGTAGTTTTTCTCATATTCTCTAACACTCAGTAACCCCTCTGCATCTTAGTGGCTTTAGCACCTTACTTGGGAGGAAATTTAAATGCAATGTCAATCATTATCTTCTGTCTACTAAATCCTTCTTTTATTGTCCTCTCTCCTTACCAGTAGTATTTATTATATTCTCTAACACTCGTTAACCCGTTTGTCTCTTAGCAGCAATAGTTCCTTACTTGGTGGGGGGGGGGAATGTTTAATAAAATTATGACATCTTTGTCTGAAACTGTGATATAATACCAATAATGAGAAACCCAATTGTCTCATTGTTTTTTTTGGGTTTTTTGCTTTCTTTTTTGGTGTATACAAGACGTGGAAGTGAAAATCGCACTGCAGCTCATGACGTTATACATGACCATGTGAAAACGAGAATTGTTAAGTATGGGAAGCTGTTGGTATAAACCAATGGCTTCTGTTATCAATTATAGGCATTTAAAAATATTTGTAGAGATTTCATAGTTTATTTTGTTCCGCATCTCATATACACGAGTTTGTCGTTACTTGGAAATCTTTCATGCAACACAAACAGACTATCATTATTGTTTTGTCCGTGCATTGTTTAATATATTGAAATGTAAATCTCATCTTTGATAATTTGCTTATGAAAGCCAAAAGGATAGGATTAAAAAACATGTATCAATATGGTGATTTCCTTTCATCTTTCAATGATAATGTTATTAAGCTTATCAGACAATATGAAAAGAATTTACTTAAAATAAATAGACAAAACTTGCCTATATTATTTAATGAAACATGCATCAATGAAAAAATGCTGCATATATATATATATATATATATATATATATATATATAAAATGATAGAGCAATGACAGTCTTATGATGTTTCATCTGTAAGAAAGAGTTTGTAAGGTAGAAAATAATTTGTCACCCACAAGGATGCAGAGAGGCTTTTGAACTCTATCAAGACTGGAAAGTGAGGTCTAGACAGTTCCTGTGTTTACCGTTAGTAGGTAAATCTTTTAGTGATTTTGTAGTGCCAGTATGTAGAGTAAGATGAAGGTCTGTCTGTCTTTAAGATCTGAAGCATACATTTTCTTGCAACAATTTTTAATCATTGATCTGTGAATATGGTTGTATATAGATGATTGTTTGAGCATTTCTGAATGAATTGGACATCATACATGACATCTGATAAGGCTATTGAAGAACATGACAGGTCTTAGGTCAATATTTTGTTTTGTGTTTTTTTTAGCATTTTATACTGTGGGACAAAACACCCAGCACAATGTAACCCCTGTCCAGTCTCCTATTCTCCGAGATATAACAAATTCAATCTAGGGGAATAGGAGACTTATCCGTAGTTTTAATAATCTCCTTCGAATTTACTACAGGGAGTACAAAACCAATCAATGACTATGTATGGAACAAGATCAGAAGTCTTGTGCACTGACAGGAATCTCTTCTCACCACTATTAGGTGTCAGAAGATGTCAGTTTGGCCACATCAAACAGCAAAACAGCTTCTGCAAGACTGTCATGCAAAGAACTGTTGAAGGCAGACACAAGTGAGGGCTGCAATGCAAAAGCTGATCAGGCAACATCAAAGACTGGATAGATATAACAATGTCAGAACTCCTGAGAGCCACTGCCAACAGATCATCCTGGAGGAGGTTGTTTGTTTCTTCTTCTCCGAGGTCCTACCAACGATTGAAGCAGTCAAGGGACGGATGATGATGATGATATATAATGATGATGATGATCTTGTCAGTTGCCAAATCAAATCGCAGAAGATATTTTTCTGATAACTGCTCGAAAGAAAAACAAATAGGCATTGAAGCCTTTTTTTTTTTTTTTTTTTTTTTTTTTTGTAATTTTGTTTTTTCCCCTAAACTTTAAAAAGGAAAGAGAAATATTATTAGCCAATTACCAAATGGCAGGAGAAATCATAAGACTTCCTTTGTGAATTTCCAAATTCAATTTGTTGGTGGGGGCGGCTGGTTAAAAGAAAAATGTTCTTCTAGTCCTTACATTTTTTCTTTCTTCTTGATTTTCCACAATATTTATTTTTTTTAATTCTATTTCTTTCCAGCTGGCTTGCTTCCATATTTTTTTTTCCATTTCTTTTTTTCTTTCTTGCTTGGCCTTTCTTTATTTTTCTTTCTCTCTTTATTTTTCTTTCTCTCTTTATTTTTCTTTCTCTCTTTTATTTTTTTTTCTCTTTTATTTTTCTTTCTCTCTTTATTTTCTTTTTTTTATTTTTCTTTCTCTTTATTTTCTTTCTCTCTTTATTTTTCTTTCTCTCTTTATTTTTCTTTCTCTCTTTATTTTTCTTTCTCTCTTTATTTTTCTTTCTCTCTTTATTTTTCTTTCTCTCTTTATTTTTCTTTCTCTCTTTATTTTTCTTTCTCTCTTTATTTTTCTTTCTCTTTTTATTTTTCTTTCTCTCTTTATTTTTCTTTCTCTTTTATTTTTTCTTTCTCTCTTTATTTTTCTTTCTCTCTTTATTTTTCTTTCTCTCTTTATTTTTCTTTTTCTTTTTATTTTTCTTTCTCTCTTTATTTTTCTTTCTCTCTTTATTTTTCTTTCTCTCTTTATTTTTCTTTCTTTTTGACTTGCCTCAATTTTTCTTTTATTCTATTTATTTCACTTTCTTATTTTTTCTTTCCTTCTTTTTTCTTTTCTTTTTCTCTTTTTATTTTTCTTTTTTATATCTTGTCATCTTTCTTTTTGGCATTCCTCCATATTTTTTTGTTTAAATATTTTTTTTTTCCAGTTTTTGTTTTGTTTTTCCTTTTTTGATCATTATTTTTCTTTTTGAACTTATTTCTTGTTTTTGTTTTTTTTTCACTTTCTTCTTTCTGTTAATCTTTCTTCTTTATTCACTTTATCTTTGTTTTTTTTTTTCATACTTCCTTTTCTTTCTTGTTCTTGCATTTCACATTTGCTTTTCTTTCATCTTCTTTTTCCTCTTTTCATTCTTCTTATTCTTTTTATCATTTTTATTTTCTTCTAATTTTCAGATCTTTCTTTCTTGACATCGCTGACATTTTTCACTTTGTTCTCTGATTCTTTCTTTTTATCACCTTTTTCTTTTTCTTCAGTTTTCTTTGCTTTCCTTCTTGTTTTCTTCTTTTCATGTTTGCTTCTTTTCCTCATTTATTTTTTATTTTTCTATTATCTTTTTCCTTCTTTTTGTTTTCTCTTTTCTTTATTTCTTTTCTTTCTTTTTTTTTTTTCTTTTCTTTCTTTTTTTTTTTCCTTTTCTTTCTTTTTCTTTTCATTTTTTTCTTTTGCTTTTTCTTTTCTTTTCTTTTCTTTCTTTTTTCTTTTCTTTTCTTTTTCTTTTCTTCTTTTTCTTTTTCTTTCATTTTTTTTTTTTCTTTTCTTTTCTTTTCTTTTTTCTTTTCTTTTTTCTTTTCTTTTCTTTTTTTTTTTTTTCTTTTCTTTCTTTCTCTTTCTTTCTTTTTCTTTTTCTTTTCTTTTTCTTTTCTTTTCTTTTTCTTTTTTTCTTTTTTCCTTTTCTTTGTTTTCTTCTTTTCATTTCTTTGCTTTTCTTTTCCTTTTCTTTTATTTTTTTTTTTCTTTTATTTTCTTTTCCTTCTTTCTTTGTTTTTCTTTTTTCTTTGTCTTTTCTTTTCTTTTGTCTTTTCTTTTTCTTTTTTTTCTTTTCTTTGTCTTTTCTTTCTTTTCTTTTTTTTTCTTTTCTTTTCCTTTTCTTTTCTTTTCCTTTTCTTTTCTTTCTCTTTTCTTTTCTTTTCTTTTTCTTTCTTTTCCTTTTCTTTCTCTTTTTTCTTTTCTTTTTCTCTTTTCTTTTCTTTCTTTTCTTTTCCTTTTTCTTTTCTTTTTCTTTTCTTTTCTTTCTTTTCTTTCTTTTCTCTTTAGTTTTTTCTTTCTTTTCTCTTTTCTTTTCTCTTTTCTTTTCTTTTCTTTTCTTTTTTCTTTTCTTTTCTTTTCTTTTCTTTTCTTTTTCTTTTTCCTTTTCTTTTCTTTTCCTTTTCTTTTCTTTTCTTTCTTTTCTTTTCTTTTTTTCTCTTTTCTTTCTCTTTCCTTTTCTTTCTTTTTTCTTTTCTCTTCTTTTTTCTTTTCTACTTATTTCTACATTCTTATCCCATTTTTCATTTACATCCTTCTCTTCAGTTTCTTACTTTCTTTTTTTTCTTCTCGTTCCTTATCATTTTTCCTTCTTCCAAGTCCTTTTTTTATCAATCTTTACAATTTATTCTCCTCTACTTCTGCTTCTTCTTTCTTTCTCCACTGTCTATTTTCTACACTGATCATTCTCACAGTCCATCGAGGTTTCAATTCACTGAGCATATCTCACTAGAAGCAGACACATCCTTGGGTGCAAATTGGCACATAGGAAACAGTGCCAAGAATAATGCAAAAACCAAAATCTCATTTAAATTCACAAAACAGTAGCAAAAATAGAAAAGTATATATTATTAATTCTATCTTTATCATCATTCTTAAATGTATATCTACTCAGGATATTTGTTTTCCTTTTTTAATACAAGGCCCAAGAGCTACTCAAGCAAGAGGGTTGATAAATGAGGTATGGATGTAGGAAGAGGGAGCAAGGCCAAATTATGAGGATAAGTAGGATAGGTAAATTCTGACCCTAGACTTGAAGAAGTTAAGATTATTATGACTGGGGAAACATCCTCTCGGGAGTCTATTCAATAATGCAGCAGCTCTTGGAATAATGTTCAAATGGAGCTTGCTTCTTACTAAGGGAATATGAAGGGAATGAGGATGATTCACCACTGTAGCTGGTGATTGAGTTAGAATCAGAGTGTAGTATTTGTTCTCCTCCTTTCTCATGGTAATGGTGATATTAGCCGTTTCCTTATAAGGAAAAATCTGGCACTAACTGACCCAGCAACCAATACTACTTTTGGTTGAAATTTATAAAATCTTTTTCTTAAAATAATTTTTCAGGAAAATACGTTTCTCATGTCCAGTAGCTGTTATCACTCTTTCCATTACTGATGAGGTTTTCCTTCCTAGCCTTTTATTTGAAGTAGTGTGGAATGCCAACATCTTTACTGTGTGATTATTTTCTCTTCAAGTTACATATGCCATCCATTTTAGTTGTTGCTGCTGTTGGAAGTCTTCAAGTGATGTGGTTTCTGTTATTTGGTACAGTTCTTTGTAATTCTGTAGCATCAACTCACAAGAAGTATGGTAGGGACTGCTTACTATTTAAACATAGCTAGGGAATAATGGATTCATGCCTTTTCCAAGAGCATTAGTTTGAAGTGAATTTAACACACTCAGTCAGAATTTGAACTTAACCAATTCCACTTTTCATGCCGTTGCTCATTATCCTCTTTGCGGAACAGTGTTTAAAATTGCCATATAAATATATTATCCTTTTTTTTCCCATACACATTTCAAATAAATCCCATATTTACAAATATATATTAAAAAATCTTATTTACCAAAAAACCTTTTGGAAGAATTTTTTAAATGCCATATCTCTTCAGGGTAGAGTAGATAATGACTCTCCCCAGGTTCCACATTTCAACAATGGCAATGATGAAAATGAAGAGCACATAACTGAAAGAGAAAATAATTACATAATCAAGATGTTGATGTTCCACATTATATCAAACAAAAAGTTAGGAAGAAAACACCCATCAATACCGGACCTGAAAAACCTATTTTCTTGAAAAAATGTTTTAATAGAAAGATTTTATAAATTTAACCAATGGTATCAGTGTCTACTTAGTTAATGAATGCCAAATGTTTCCTTATAAAGAAACGGCTAATATCTCTATCACCATGAGAGAGGAGGAGAACAGATATGACACTTTGATTCTAGCCAGATGGCTGAATAGAGAAGAAAAGCAGAACTTGAGTAGCACTGGCTGCACACTCAATGAATTCCAAATGCTTCATTAATAACAAAACAGTTATTATTACCATTACTTGGTGGCTGAGATAGTTGCATATCATGGTTTGGTACTAGAGGTTGGTGTCCAAGCTCTTGTAAGAATCTAGACGATTGCATTGATCAATGAAAACAAAAAGAAAACGTTATTTTTAAAATAATGTTAACAAGTAAAAATAGTATTGATTGATTTTAATGATTTATTTCCTCTTCATCAGTTGAACTGATCAGAAGTTCATATTTCTGTAAAAAGTGTGATAATTTTGAATAAATGTGTGAATCACCAGCTGCAGTGAAATATCCCTGCCAAAAAAGGGGTAATCAACGTCACCATGAAATTGATTGTTCAATCAACTGCCAAATATCAATGACTAGTGATGAAAGAGGTGGAGGGGGATCTTTTCTCGAAGTCTCATACAAAATCTGGAGGTATATTGATGCTGATTATGAAAAGGTGACCATTGCTGATGATATCTGAAGCAGTAAAAATAATATAATCAGCTTGCAGTTGTTTCACTTCACAGAAATGCTTTCCCATCTAAATGGCTCATTAAAAGGTTCATATCACTACTTCCATATCTGTCTATATCTCTGAGATGAGGTATTAGGATTACTTGCATTATTTATATTATTCAGACTGTTATCATCATCTTCATTGCCATATTCACAACGTTCCTGCCTCTATATCTCTGAGATGAGGTATTATGATTACTTGCATTATTTACATTATTCAGACTGTTATCATCATCTTCATTGCCATATTCACAACCTTTTGGCCTCTATATCCCTGAGATGAGGTATTATGATTACTTGCATTATTTACATTATTCAGACTGTTATCCTAATCTTCATTGCCATATTCACAACCTTTTGGCCTCTATATCCCTGAGATGAGGTATTATGATTACTTGCATTATTTACATTATTCAGACTGTTATCCTAATCTTCATTGCCATATTCACAACCTTTTGGCCTCTATATCCCTGAGATGAGGTATTATGATTACTTGCATTATTATATTATTCAGACTCATTATCATCATCTTCATTGTGGATAAAGTCCAAATATTCACAACCTTTTGGCCTCTATATCCCTGAGATGAGGATAAAAGTATTATGATTGCAAGTAATCATAATCGCATTATTTACATTATTAAAAAATTTGGATCCTCATCTTCAATTGCCATATTCACTCAGTGATTTAGAGGTTGAAACGTTGTGACCTTCTTCTGGGACAAAGTCCTAATGTAAATAATGCAAGTAATCATAATACCCATCTCAGGATAAAAGTTGGCTATGTCCTGAAGAGTGATAAAATCAAAAAAGTTGTGGAGTTCAATCTAAGGCCACAACAGTGGATAACCAAAACTTGGATAAAAAGTGAAAAATATAATAACTGAGACCTCCAGAAATATAGAGGCTGAAACGTTGTGAATATGGCAATGAAGATGTGGATAAAAGTCCAAATAATGTAAATAATGCAAGTAATCATAATACATCATCTCAGAAATATAGAGGCTGAAATGTTGTGAATATGGCAATGAAGATGAAGATAACAGTCCGAATAATGTAAACAATGCAAGTAATCATAATACCTCATCTCAGAGATATAGAGGCTGAAACGTTGTGAATATGTCACTGAAGATGTGGATAAAAGTCCAAATAATGTAAATAATGCAAGTAATCATAATAATCTCAGAAATATAGAGGCTGAAACGTTGTGAATATGGCAATGAAGATGTGGATAAAGTCAAATAAAAATAATGCAACATAAATCATCTCAGAAATATAGAGGCTGAAATGTTGTGAATATGGCAATGAAGATGTGGATAAAAGTCCAAATAATGTAAATAATGCAAGTAATCATAATACCTCATCTCAGAGATATAGAGGCTGAAACGTTGTGAATATGTCACTGAAGATGAGGATAAAAGTCCAAATAATGTAAATAATGCAAGTAATCATAATACGTCATCTCAGAAATATAGAGGCTGAAACGTTGTGAATATGGCAATGAAGATGTGGATAAAAGTCCAAATAATGTAAATAATGCATCTCAGTAATCAGGCTGAAACGTTGTGAATATGGCTGCCAAATAATGTAAATAAATATTCTGGCAAGCTTCCTTCTTTCGTATCACCAGTTCAGACCTTTACAGCCAATATCTACCTTGATAGGGTTGAATCATATTTCATCTGTAAAAATCCCTTCAGTAAAGAGGACATTGATTTGTTCATTTAGTGACATATAAACTGGTTATGGGTCATTTAATGCCAAAATTTAATATTCTTCAGAGCTTTGTAATTTTTTTTTTTTTTATTGCTAGCATTTTTATGAGAAAAATTTATTTTTATACTTTCATAGTGTTTTGACCCCGGTTTGGGGGGTTCACTATTTAACCATAGCTGGGACCCAAACAGGTGCTACCATCCCACATCCGGGTGGGCCTGGGAAAAACAACAATTGAGAGGTGATTCCAGACCAGAGGCCTTGCTATTGGATGTAGTTTATAGCCATACCCAGGATGATGTAGCTTATAGCCATACCCAGGATGATGTAAAAAGGACATTCCACTCCAAATGCTTCTCAATGGCAAAGTGACCAAAACATTGTGATAATAACAGCAAAGATGAGTCCAAATGTAAATAATGCCAAGAATTCCTTTCTGGACTGTTGGTTAGCATACTCTCCTGCTTTCTCTAGCGATATATATATATATATATATATATGGTCCAAGAGACGTCAATTGATGGAATTCCACATCACCACCAAAATATGATAAAATATATCATAACAATATTGATAGCATTCATCTTCAAATCAAAAAAAGGAATCAGATTACACCCAAAATGGAATATTGCTTCTATATCTCTGCTGGAGCTGCTCAATCTTCCCTTTCCAGCATTGGCAGAGTTTAAAAAAAAAAAAAAAATGATTACAGTCTTGTGTGGGCAGAACTAATTCTCACTCTGTAGTCTCTTTCCCTCACATGCAATCGCTATCCTATCACTATCTCCATGGCAAATTTCAGACATTTAGTTCCACCTGTAGAAACCTTTATAACCAGGACATGACATTTCACAATGCCAAATCACCTGTATTTCCTCAGCATTCACTTTTTTCCAAGAACTGCAATAGAACAGGCTTCCACCTGGATGCTTCCCTGAATTCTACAATTTTAACCTCTTCAAGACTTGGGTCAATTATTATCTATCTTATGCCATGATATTTGCTTCCTACATCATCATCTTATGTTCATATCAAACACCTCATTTGTTAAGCCTCTACCTGGAATGGCTCTTAGATCTAGTATTAGGTGAACAGCAAATTCAGTTACAAGCGATCAACTACAGTAATTGACAATTCAAAAGTTTTACTTAATAATAGTTTTAATTAGTAACAGTTCCAATAAACCTCAAGAATAAAGAGGCT